TTGATTATGATATGAATGTATAAAGTTATGAAACTATGTGTTAAGAACCGAGTTGAATATGAATGAAATTCTGGATACGAAATTTCCCTATGATAGTGTACGTTCGTCACTGAACGGTCATTGACCGTTCGGTAATACTAGAAATCCTGGTTAAAATTGGATTCTTTCATTTGGAAAGAATCTTAGGTGAGGACGAGCGTCTTCGTGTGGTAGTACTATGCTTGAGCGTTCGGCCAAGCATAGTTGTATCTGGGTATTCTGTGATAAACTTAAATTTGTAAATATATGTAATTGTATATTTTAGTTATTCTTAAACACTATTCCAATAGTATCTTATTATATTTATCAAGCTTCTATTATAAGTTTAGTAGGGCTCGGTCTCACACCAAGTGCTCGTAATGAGGAGTGCTCGGTCTTATATCAATGGCTCGTACTCGTTTCTTTTATATCTGGATGAAAATAACGTTCGTCCAAATTCAATAGAGTTTTCTTTCTACAGTGCTCGGTCATTGACTGACATTCGGTTTTCGGGATGCTAAACTCAAATAAGCTAATTTTTCATAAGCGTTCGGTTTCTTTATGTGAATTCTTCTAAGTATGGTTCTTTAAATGTCTTGAAGAGTCTACATTCATTGGTTCCGGCCTAAAGCCTTAGTACTTGGCATGTTCTTTGAGGTGTTCGCTTTGAGCTCCCGAGAGTCAGTTCATTCAATTGGCTCACTTTTTAAAGTAACGTTCGTTCTAGTCGTTCTTGTGACATATAGTTGTACTCGGTTTCTTTCTCAACTTGATAGTAACCCTCTCAGTCTTATTCTATTATGGAACGGGAGATTTCTCTGTCTCGTTCCAAGTGTTCATCCTCGTTCTGAGTGAGGATTGAACGTTCGGTATTGGATGTCCTTAATAATCCTTGAACAAAGATGAATTTGAGTAGATTTGATAATGAAAGATGAAGAAAATATGAGATGGATGAAATGTTGTGGATTATGAACGAGCGTTCTAGGGAGGAACGACTCATGGATGATTATTGAATTTGTAAAGTATGACTGTGGGCATGCTAAGCTGGCAGTTCATCCTGATGTTCCGTGAGTACTCGTCCTCACATAGAGGGGGTAGGTCATGTGTGGGAACGGCAGGAGGTCCTAGTCTTTAGGGTTACTTTGGACTAATAGTACTAACCTCGGGTGGCAGCTGTTGAGAGTATCCCAGTTACTACATCACCCGGGTGCACGAACTCCTGTAGCTACGCAGATTTCATATAGTCCAGACAGTCAGTTTAGTATTATGATTTATATGAAACGTATGATGAAATATATCTTGTGTGTTTGATTGTGTGAAATGTATGTCTATACATGAATTAAATTACATAAGCTTACCCTGTGTTTTCCTTGTGTTGTCTTATTTTGTACATCCGTCTTTGTCATTGCAATGATCATCCATTGTGGATGTGAGCAGAAGGAGACGAGTTCCTGGAAGAAGCTTTAGCGGAAGAAAATCTTGTTAAGGTGGAAGTGAAGACCGAACAATAGGACGTTCGGTCATTATTCTAGTTACACTAAGGTGGTCGTTTGATCACCTCCTCTTTTGATTATATTTGACCATTCAGTGTAAACTTTTGTAAACTGTTCGGTCAGGTTTGCTTATTCTGTATAGTTTTAGTAGTTAGTCGTAACCTTTCTGTAAGGCCGTTCGACCATAACCGTACGTTATTCTTAATATAAGACAGATTTGGTAAATGTAATTATTCTATTATATAGTTATACTGTTAAATTTAATAATAAATTATATAAAATCATAATCCATTATAATAATTATTTTTAAAACTAGAGATGTTTGTTTACTTCTTTATTATAATGAAAAATAAAAATATTATTTTTATTATTAAAACAAATGTAAATACAATTTATATTTTTAGTGCGAGTAAATTTTATTTATTTTGTAGAAACTTTTTTGCTATAAATAGTTATTTTAAACTAAAAATAATTAAATTTAAAAAAAACAAGAAAATAACAGTTAGATTTAAGAAAACGTACAAGTTAAAGAGTAAAATATAAAACAATTAATTTAATTTTTTTAAAATGTTATATAAAAAATAAAATAAGAAACGGAATGTGCACAAAAAAATATCTTTTTATATAATAGTTTCTCGTATAGATTATGCATGTCATTCTTTCTACTTAAAAATTCACTATTTTTATTTATTTATTAAAAATATTTATTTATTAAAAAAATTATTTGAATATTTTTAATTAAGTTTGTATAATTATTTCAAATTTCTATATTTTTAATTAACTCTACATAATTTAATATTTTTATTAATTAAGCGTCGTTGTTAAAAAAATTATAATTAATATAAAAATATTAATAATGTTTTGTAATTAATATAAAATTTTTTGAGTACACGATATATATAAATATTTTTTTAATAAAAATTCAATTAAAAGTATTTAAATTAATAAGACAATTTAATTTAAATATTACAAAACATATAAAATTTAAACTCATAATTTTACTTACCAATATAAATTTTAGTATTGATAAATAATTACATTACTTGAGAAAACTTTATCTTCACCTTATCAAATCCAATTATGGTTTAAATAAGATGAGTTAAATAAAAAAAATCGTATAAAAAAATATTGGCCAACTTCAAGTTATATTTCAGTGTCATATTAGTTTCTGAAACTAAAAAAAAAGATTAATTTTTGTTTTGTTTGTTTACAGTTGATACCACTCCTATGGTTGTATCTGTGTGCCATAACTAGTTGTAAGGTCCATTCCCGTGAGCTTACAAATTATCTATTTCCATCCACAGAACCTGAATCTGTCACCTTTTCTCTGTATCTTTCTCACACAATACAATAACATTGCTTCAAATCAAAACCAACTTTCAAATCCTGACCCACCTTTGCTTTTTCTGATCGCCACCATCTTTTTGCCTTCCAAATCCTATTTCGTAACACCCCATTTCCATTTCTTCCCAAAGTTCATTCCTTTTTCAGGTTTGAAACGGAACCCATTTCTCTGTTTTCATGCTTTTAGCCAACAATGCCAAGGGTCTGGATGTTCTGTTTATTGTTTTCAACATTGAACTTTTTTGAAACAGAGGGCATCTGCATGTTGTTTAGTGATGTTTTTAAAGTTTCATGCTTCGATGATTTATGTGAATTTAATGATTTTATTTGGATTTTGAGGGTTTGCATTTGTTGTTTTGATCTTGCTTTTTTCCTAGTTACTCATTTCGTATTTCAATTATTATCAATGCATATTTTGATTCAATTGAGTTGGTTATGGTTATAAAACTTCATTTGAGTCTATATAAAAGGTCCATGCCTGAATGGACCTGACCCCAATCGGGGTATTGATTTCGCTTTTCCTTTCCTTTTCAATAGCTTTTGATTTACTGAGTTAGTAGCTAAAATGAATTGAATGCCTAATACTTTGTCATGTAGCTTTTTGAGGAGTTGGTCTACAGAAACTTGGTTCAGTGTTAAGTTTGCGTAGTCTTTGAATAATCTTTAGCCACTTTGTTGTGTTATGTTTTTTTGTTCATGATTGAAGTTAAACAAATGCCGCAGCCTGACCTCAGGAGGCTATCATTTAACGAATAAAATAATCATTCTCTATTTTATGGAGAACAACAATGGTTTTCCATTTGGAATTATTTATTTCGTATGAATCAATATTTATAGTATATAGAATAAAATAAAATTATTGGAATACAAATCTCTGGTACAGTTTCTATCCTATAAGTTTAAAGTTGTTTTCTTTTATTCTTAGAAATGAGTTATCCCTCTATAAATGGAAGGCAATAGGATTATCATCCTTGCAATAAGCATCTTAGATAAAGTTGGTTTCATTTCATGTACAATGTACATGCGTTCCAGCTTAAAACTACATCTTTCTTGACATTGAATTTGATTTTAATTGTTTTATGCAGTCTATCTTAAGCATTCCAGTCCTTCAACATATGGAGGGCTGTTGACATTTCACTCATACTTTTTTATTATTAGTATTGATCATGTACCTATTGGCATATAGTCTATATCTTCAATGTAGAGGCTTCAACATATTTTTTGTTGTTGTTTTCTGTTTGTTTATCTTCACCTGTAGATTTTTCTTTATCTGCAGGAAAAATCTATCAGTTATAATTCCAAATGTCTTCGTCCACTCTCATCTGTGACACTCAGCCATGGAAGGAGTTAGAGGTGATGGATAATCACTTCCTGGATTATAATTCAGAGCTAGTGAAACATTCTACTTATCGCTTCTCATTTGTGCAGGCCCACGCTGTGGATGTTAAAAAGACTCACTTACGTGATTTATTGAGTGATGAGGAGAGATCCCGGTCAATGGTGGTGTATGACGCTTAATTTATGAAACTCTATAACCTTATGACCTATTATATTCTTTTATAAGTGTATCAATAAAATTAGGAGATTACCATTTAGGAATTGAAAATATTTTATGCTAAAAAAGTTGAGTCACTACAATGTGCTTGCAATGTCTTGATGTCTAACCTTTGGACTTCTGCATTCTTTGAAGTGAATTTGATGGAATTCTATTGGATTACTCGAGGCAGTTAGCCACGCTTGAAACAAGGGAAAAACTCTTCAAATTGGCAGAGGTTAGTTCAGTCCTTCTAGATATTTGGACAACATGTTTTATCTTGTGGCCCTCAGTCATGTCCTTTTAGATACATAAAAGGTCCTTTATCAAACTGAAATGAAGTCATCTGATTACTATATCTCTGGATGTGACGCAGGTTGCATCCCTCAAGGAAAAGATAAACCGGATGTACAATGGGGAGCATGTAAGTTCCTGTATACCGAACCACTGAGCTGTACATATGCTCATGTCATACTTGCATTTTAAATTTTTTTCTCCGTCTGGAACAAAGGTGTTAATTCTCAACTATGTTTTTATTAAATGGTTTCTACAATTCCCACTTCTACACTGGGAAACTTTGTATTAAAAAAGTTTGCATGTATATATGATGTGGACACAATTGCTACACTTTCTGAATTATCACATTTTCTTGTTATTTCTCTTGGAATTTCAGATAAACAGCACTGAGAATAGATCAGTACTTCATGTAGCTCTTCGTGCTCCAAGAGATTCTGTTATACAGAGTGATGGAAAGAATGTTGTCCCAGATGTTTGGAACGTTCTGGACAAGATCAAGGAGTTCTCTGAACGGATTCGCAGTGGATCTTGGGTAATATACTGGCCAGTTTTTTGTACTTTTTTTGTGGTATATGGACATTGTTGATGTAGAGTTAAAGAGTATAAATTATATTTTTGTAGGTTGGAGCTACAGGAAAGGAATTGAAGGATGTTGTTGCTGTTGGTATTGGTGGCAGTTTCTTAGGTCCATTATTTGTGCACACAGCTCTTCAAACAGGTTGTTGACTCATTCTGGTTTCTTGGTGGTATTCACATAATCAGCCTTTCTTCTCCTTATATTTGTACGTTTTTTAGTACATATGTAGATGAACATAAGAACCATGTTTATTATCTTCAAGCAAGTAGAAGTGCTGAATATTGTTTCTATGACATCTTTCAGATCCTGGAGCAATTGAATCTGCAAGAGGGCGTCAGCTACGGTTGTAAGTATCTGATATCACTTTGGTTTTTGAAGTCTGGTTTGTTGCCATCCAATTCTAGTATGCATTCCACTCCCCTGGTGTTAATTTTATACTACTATTTATCTCATTTAGTGGTGACAAGGTTAACCTCTTCACTATGTTAAACTTATCACGAAATCAATATATGCTTGTATCTGCAGTCTTGCAAATGTTGATCCAATTGATGTTGCTAGGAATATCACGGGACTAAATCCTGAAACAACCCTTGGTAAGTATGGTTTTTCCTTTTCCTTTTTACTTGATATTTGACTTAAGCGACTGGGATTCCATCTTGTTTTCTACACTGTTGGAACTCTTTTTTTCTTTTTTTTGTAGTAGTGATTGTTTCAAAGACTTTTACAACTGCCGAGACCATGTTGAATGCCCGAACACTAAGGGAATGGATTTCTTCTGCCCTAGGGTGAGTGTAGTGTTAAAACTATTTTTCAAGAGTAATAGTATAATTCTTAATCTGGTTCTTTTTCTGGGCTTTTACCTTTTAGACTTTAGTATTATAAGCATTGTGTCTTCATCTGGTAATTTCCCCTTCAAAACATATCCATAATTATGTAAAATAGAAATGTTAAATGTAATCTGAAGACTGGCTTACCATTCTATTTTACCTTCAGGCCCTCAGCAGTTGCAAAACATATGGTGGCAGTCAGTACCAATCTCACAGTATGGCCATTTGTTCTCTTTTCTTTTGCTTAGCTCATCAAAATATGTTAAAAATTCTATGTGTAGTTTCCGTGTGAAGACATATATCAATTGTTCAGGGCTGATCCTGGAGTTTTCTTTTTTCTGTTGTCTTCATTTCTGATGCAGCTTGTGGAAAAGTTTGGCATTGATCCTAATAATGCTTTTGCATTTTGGGACTGGGTTGGTGGCCGATATAGTGGTAACTTTTTTTTGCAAATCTCTACTTTTCCTAGATCTTACTGGATGGGAGCCCCTGCAATATGCTGCCCTTTATTGAATAAGAGAAGTAATTTGATTTTAACTATTATTTGGCGTGTTGTTTACAGTCTGCAGTGCTGTTGGAGTATTGCCATTATCCCTACAATATGGTTTCTCAGTAATTGAGAAGTATGTGATTTATTATTGCTATGAGCAAGAATTTCTTTTCATTGATAATAATGGTCCTAACTTTAGCTTATTTCATTGTATTTTTAGCATAACTTATTATAGATGCACTCTAGCAAGCATTGCATTGCCTATATCATTCTATCTTTTAATTAGAAAAATAGAAAAAAAAGGAAATTCAACTTCATAATAATAGCTAGTTGGTAATTAATTTATAATACCTCCAATGCTTCTATATTTTCTTTGTGTAAATTAATGGAAAGAAAGTAAGGTTTTCTCTTGGCTTATAGCCTTAGTTCCAGGAGGGTAAAGATTCATCCAACTATTCATTTTATTTATTTATTTATCTGTTGTTTTGGTTCCTATTTGATAGAATAAGTATCCTTTCTTGTTCATATGCTTGGTTTGTACATGACATCACATTTCTTTTTTGAAGGTTTTTAAATGGGGCTTCCAGCATTGATCAACATATGTATTCAGAACAATTTGAAAGAAATCTACCTGTAAGAACCCCTACCGCAGCCTTTGTGTCTTTCAATGTTTGTTTTTTTATACTAATGGATCTCCTGCACATGTTAGACAGATTTTAAGCCATTTATTTTGGTTCAATCCAGTGGCTGGAAAGTAATTATCATAAACCAACCCATTGTCGTGTCTAAAAGCTTATGCTACTAGTGGAGGTCAAAGGCTGGTTTTGTTGAGATAGTAATAGTCTTAGAATTAGTCCAACGTCAATTAGGTAAAAGAAGGGTCATGTGACTACTTTTTCTTAATATTGGGAAAACCCAAGTTGTTGGCTAAGAATAGTATAAAGTACAGTGTGTAAGGGCAATCCTCATGGTCTCCCTGATACTACTTTCACTCTCTGCCTGTCTCTCCCTACTTAGTGCTCTCTCTCTCTACTCAGTGCTTCCTTGACCTTGTTTGATGAACAATTTGTTGCTCCCAAAATTTGAATTGGATTTCATGGTTTGGAAACTACTCTCCCTTTGAAGCAATAAACTGCTATCATTGATGGAGAGTGAGTAATGATTAACCACATGAATCCTTCCTTTTTTTGGGATTATACATCTATATGGCAGTAATGATGTTTCTTTAACAAATGCAAGATGACATGTTCAATTGTGTCAATGGGCCAGGTGATTTTGGGACTGTTGAGTGTATGGAATGTCTCATTTCTTGGATATCCTGCCCGAGTGAGTACCTCGCCATTTGTTCTATTGAATAACTCCTTATGTTTCTTTATTATTTCAATAACTGAAACGTTGGTTCACACCCAGGCTATCTTACCATATTCTCAAGCCCTGGAGAAGTTTGCCCCTCACATTCAACAGGTATGTTTGTTATTGTCTTGCAATTGAATGCTCAGGAATTTTCATTTTTTGTCCTCTTTGTTCATATTGTTTAGTGTATGTTCAAACTAGGTTAGCATGGAAAGTAATGGCAAGGGTGTTTCAATTGATGGTGTGCCACTACCATTTGAGGCTGGTGAAATTGATTTTGGTGAACCAGGAACAAATGGGCAGCACAGTTTTTATCAACTTATACACCAGGTGTGATACAGATAGCAATACTTGTGTTGTCATGACATTTTGAACTTTAATTTTATTTGTGCAGTTTGCATGTTAATGCTTGGGTAAAATCTATATTATGATTGATGAGGACATTAGGTCATATACAAGTTTAATGGAAGATTATTTTCCTGTATGCTGACCTTTGAGTCAAGTGGTGGTTACTCGGCAGATCATTTACGTTGCATATGGATTCATGGTTTATTTTTCATAAGTTAGTTTTCTCCTGTCAGTTCTAAACACAATTTTCTGAGTGGCACATTTTAAACTGCATTTAGGATTTTCCCTTATGCCTCAAAATAAATCAGAAGTTAGTCATGCTTGGATATATATCATACATGGGCATTCCAGCATAAACTAGATGACAAAAATTGTTATTGGATAGCATTAAAGAATTTCAACAAATTTTTCTATTCATTAGAATTTGGGAGAGGGGTCAATCATACCAAAAAGTGGAATTGATTTCAATCTTTAAGCTTATCTCTTTTATTTGATTCAGGTAACCTGTAGTCTGATAATATTCATTCTGTGATGTGTGCAATCCAATGTGCTCATGAATTTAAAATGTTACATTTATCTCAGTATGAATGACTTTGTTGTGAAATAACACATCTATATCCATCTCTTGATCTCCAGGGACGTGTTATTCCTTGTGACTTTATTGGGGTTGTGAAAAGTCAGCAACCTGTTTACTTGAGTGGTAAGCTGGTTTGATATTTACACTCTGGTTATCTTGGTTTGAGACATGTAATTTATAATTCGTGCACTTTCTGTGCAGGAGAGGTGGTGAGCAACCATGATGAGCTAATGTCAAACTTTTTTGCACAACCAGATGCACTTGCCTACGGGAAGGTACACAAGTAGTTTCTCTAAATCTAATTTATATTCATTAACTAAACAAAGGGAGCGCTTCCATATGGGAAGGTATATTTGTGCTCTCTTTCTTATTTATGGATCAAGTAGTCTGATTGCTTCTCTCTTCTCAAGATCGATGTAGATAAAAAGAATATAATAAATCATAAAACAATGAAGAGATTAATTCATGGTTTTTTTAATAAAATGAAAATTGGAAATTAAATTGAACTGGTAGTTGCACAATAGAAACAAGATTCTTGATGTTGGTATCTTCAAGATTATTCTTGTTTTGTGCAAGAATCAGGCCTAACCATATACATGACCCAAGGCATAGAGGGTGATGGTGTTTGGTGTTCTCGTGCTGTGAAAGAAGGGAGTATTTCTAGAAGAAACTCTAACACTGAAGTTAGAGGTGATGCTTGAAGGCTAGGATGTGTGGGAGGAAATCCTTTATTTGAGTGTTTTAGCTTTTATTTGTTGTAGAGCTAGAGACCCTTTGAGTTAGGGAACAAAGGATTTTTTCCGATATAATTGATTGAAGATGACATCCTCTTTTTCATTGCCTTCTTGAATATATGGTATGTACTTGGTTGGACTGAGGGAGGTAAATATTGGGTAACTTACTCTGGCCAGTGAGGCAATGGCCACAATCCAGTTTGGAACAATTTTCATGTCATGAGCATTCTTATGAAAGATTCCTTAATTGGAGTTTTTTTAGCAGTTCTATACTGTATTTACATGTTTACTTGTTTTGAGGGTTAATTAAATCAATCTTTCTTTTAACAGACATCCGAACAGTTGCAGAAGGAGAATGTTCCTCCACATCTTGTGCCACACAAGGTAGTTTCCCTTCTGTTTCTATGCTACTTCATGACTTATCACTATTGAATCACCAGTCCCCTCACTGTTTGTATTCTTCATGCTGCAGACATTTTCCGGGAATCGACCTTCTCTCAGCCTTCTGCTTCCATCATTGAATGCCTACAACATTGGACAGGTTTGAAGTCCCTCCTCTTATTATATGAACATTTAGAGAGGAAATAATTCATTCCTGTTTGCTGGAATTTGAATTTACCAGTATCTTCGTTCCATTGAGCATGTCCATCCTGAAAATATCCTTTTCCTACCCATAGATCTTACCTCTCAATATACTGATGTTCCAGTCAGATGTGAATTTTCCATACTTGAGCAGTTTATACTAATGCTTTTCTTTAATGAGGCTGTGAAAATTGAATTTTTAGCCCTAATATCACCTATCTGCTTTCCCAGTTGTTGGCAATCTATGAACATAGAATTGCTGTGGAAGGTTTTATTTGGGGAATCAATTCTTTTGACCAGTGGGGAGTGGAGCTTGGGAAGGTTAGTAATTGATAAGTGACCCTTTATGTTCTTACTTCTATCCCTGGCAATGAAATATTCTGTGGTATAGTTGTTTCTTTCTGACGAGATTTCATATCAATATGAACTTTTTTTTTTTTTTTTAATTTGACTTTGATGAATTTCACAATGTTCATTCAGTCGTTAGCCACTCAAGTGAGAAAGCAACTCAATGCATCCCGCACACAAGGAGAACCAGTTCAAGGCTTTAATTTCAGTACTACTTCTATGTTGACAAGATACCTTCAGGTGTGGTAGATCATAATTCTATTCAAAGAAGAATTATTTTCTTAATTCTAGTATTTGTTGATGTTGAAACTGAACCTTGGTTTTGAATTCTTCACCCAATAAATATTAATCTACAACGACGAGAAAGCCTTTTCCTACCAGATGAGATTGCAATAAATATTTTTCTAGAAAATATAAGATGATCAAACATGGTTCAAGAATTACATGTTTTTCTTATAGGTTTTTGTTTCTTGGTTGATATATAAGAGAGTGTGCTAGCATGTTATTGTTGCTTCATTTTAGAAGATTACTGAATTGATTTGTTTATTTGTATGTCAGGCAAGTGCAGATGTACCAGCTGATCTTCCAACTCGTTTACCTAAGATATAACTGCCTTTTTCTTGAGGAATGTTATTTTTTTTATCTTGATATTGAATCAAAGTGTTGTTACCAATCTCATATAAGCTGTGACAGGTTACACAGCAGCCTTCAAACTTCTGTTTCTGAACTAATTAAGTAGTTCTGGCTTATTACAGTCATCCTTCAATTTTGTTGTGAAATGATGTCTTGAAAATCATTGCCCTATGTTTTGCTGGATTTTGAGTTATCAAGCATAGTTTTATCTGATAAAATTTAAGCACAGTTTCACAGATATTTTTTTAGTACTGTTCTAATTAAGATAAGAGTTTCAGCCTGATAAATTATACAATAAAAGCCATACTAGTTATTGGAGATGACACTCTAATTACTATTTGAGAACAACACCAAAAACACTAAAAATGGTATCTAAATTCTGTATTTTATCAGATAAACGGTTTAGACAAACAAAAGTATACATAGAAACATTTGTTCATGAACTGTACATATAAACTAGAACAACTTCGAATTGTAAAGTTTGAAACGAACTTGAAAACTCAAATATTCAAAACTGGTGAAAAAAATAAAATCCAGTGCTTAGTAAATGAGTTACCTACCTTTAAGCTGGACAAAACCTTAACCTTCAACTATATCTTTTGAGAAAACCTTGGGGCTATTGCTCCCTGCACCCTCGCAATTAGTAATTGCACTTCCACACTAATAGAAAAAGACTAAACTATCTTTTACTATTGTACCACACTTTTGTAACAGGTTGAATCTGACACATAATATATTTCTGCTACTTGACTTGTAACAAAAATTTGTCTATTATTTGTTGATACCTGTTTAAAAAATATCTGATAATAAGTATTAATAGATATTTGTCAAAAACTGTGGAAGTATTAAATGCCGAAACTTGATGCCCAAAGTTGCAGTTGACCAATTAAGATGAAGTCTTTAGGAGGTACAAAAACATATAAATCACAAAGGGTAAAATGGACATTTTGTGAAAAAAGACGGTGTATGAAAACATGACGTGGGTGCCCAAAGTAATTTTGTCTTGAAACACAATATGCCCAGTGAAAAAAGAAAGCATTGATGATTTACTGTAGTCGAGCAACGAAAAGCGAATGTTCTAACCAATTCAAATTATTAATTATTTTTATTTAAACAAAATTACCAATTTTTTTTTTCAAATTAATTAATACACTTTTTTAATTTAATTATTGGATGTCAGTAAATAGATATTTTTTTAATTAATTTTTATCTTTCACATTTAGATAAAATTAGAATGTAATGGTTTAGTGTCATTGCACCAATTCTTTTCATATGGGGCATGGAGGTAATGTCTTAATCTGTGTTTTCCAACGAATTTTAAAGTTAGGAAGACAATAAATATGTTGATAACATTATTGTTAATCTTAATATTGCTAATAAGTTATTAGTACTTTGATATAATGCTTAAGAATAATGGACAACTTTTTTTTTTTAGAATTTTTTTTTTTAGAAATTAATATTTCTTTTTTATCTTGTAGACAAATCTATTTACAATCATGATAATACCAATAATTTTCAATCATTTTAAGTAATGGATTGGAGGCACACCCACGTCTTTGTCTCCCATTCAACCCTCAACGTTCTCACTTTTCTACAAATTTGAAATTTGAAAAAAAAAAAATTCATTTCAATCTTTAAAAATAATAATAATAATTAGAAAAGTGAAAAGCGAAAACCAACGACCAGCTTTTGCAGATGCGAAAACAGGAACACTGCGAGATTTCCCGCCTATAAAAAACGACGTCGAACTATAAAGGCGGTACTCGCGTGGATTCTCATTTCGCTTTAGATTTGTTTCAATTTTTTATTTTTTAAATAGATTAATTGATTATTTTCTCATATATTATATCTAAATTTACACCTGTAAGATTTTGAATTTTCTTTAAAAATATAATTTTCTCATATATATTCTATTTTCTCTCTTTATAGAAATATGAGTTCTGAAGATATTTGTTAAACAAATGTTATCCAGAAGATAACTGTGAAATCCCAAATATACAGTCATAAACTATATAATAGAATAATCACATTTAATAATAATTCAGTATAGTCTTTCACAAACAAAAACGAACGCGCAAAGCCGAACGTCTTTACAAAAGAGTTACCAAAACTAAAGCCGTAACATGAGCAATATCTGACCGAACGGTTTACACAAGAAAATACCGAACAGTCGTACATAAGAAAAGAAAAGGATAAGGTGATCAAACGACCACTATCAAACGCCCATACAACTAGCCGAACGTCTTACTGTTCGGTCTTCACCTCAACTTCTACCAAATTTTCTTCTTCCAGCGCATCTTCCAGACGCTCGTCTCCCTCTGCTCACATCCACACGGATGATCATTGCAACGACAGGACAAACGTACAAAACGAGACAACACAAGGAAAACGCAAGGTAAGTTTATGTAATTTAATTCATGTATCAACATACAAGTTAAACAACTCAACACACAAGAACATTTCAACGTACGTATTACACCAAGCCTATCACTAGACCGACCGTCCGGACTGTATGAATTTCGTGTAGCTACGACATTCGTGCACCCGGGTGATGTAGTAACTGTAATGCTCTCATCAGCTGCCACCCGAGGTTAGTCCGTTCCGTCCAAAGTACCCCTAAGAACGAGGACCTCCTGTCGTTCCCACACATGACGTACCCCCTCTACGTGAGGACGAGTACTCACGGAGCATCAGGATCGAACCGCCAGCCAAGCATGACCACGTTCATACTTTACAATTTCAATAGTCATCAAAGAGTCGTTCCTCCCCGGAACGCTCGTTCAAAAGTCACAACGTTCCTTTCATCTCATATACTCTTCATCATTTATTATTCACTATTCCACATTCATTTTTATCATCAATATGAAGACCATCAAATATCGAACGTTCTGTCCCCACTAAGAACGAGGACGAACAATGTGGACGAGAACAAGAAGACGCCCGTTCCAGATCAGAATACGACCGATAGAGTTACGATTACGTTTGGGAATAACCGAGTAATGTCCTGTTTCATTGGACGAACGTTATTTACTACGTAAATCAATTGAATGAACTGACTCTCGTGAATTCAAACCAATACTCCGTGAATAATTTAAGTGTGGAGGCCCTAGGCCGAATACATTGAATATAGACACCTCAAGACGTTAACGAACCATATTTAGAATAGTTCTCATACTGAAATCCACTGCCAGTCAATGACCGAACCTGGTAAAGGAAAATTCTACGGAAGTTGGACGTACGCTATTTCATTAAGACTAATTTTACAAGGAATGAGTACGAGCGCTTAGTATAAGATCGAACACTTGCGAGCGCTAGGTGTAAGACCGAGCACTTATCCATACGAGCGCTAAGTGTAAGACCGAGCACTACTTAGTACGAGCGCTTGGTATAAGACCGAGCACCAATAACCTTAAAATAACAGACTTTGATAAATATAATAAAAGACTGTCGAAGTAACGTTTACGAACGGCGAAATCTACCATTTCACATATATATAAGAATGGAGTTTATCAAGGGATACCCAGATACGACTGTGCTTGGCCGAACGCTCAAGCATAGTATTTTAACACGAGGACGCTCGTCCTCAACTAGGGTTCTATCCAAATGAAAGAATCCCATTTCAACTATGTTCAATAGGAAAACCGAACGGTCAATGACCGTTCAGCAACGAACGTACATTATCATAGGGAAAGTTCTTATTCATTTTCATTTACATTCCAGTTCATTTCTCATCATAATTTCATAGTTCCATTCGTTCATATCAAAATCAACTTTCACATTTCATACAATCCATATCATGCAAATTCATATATTTCATTCCTACTCATTATTCAACGAACGTTCATGCAATTCAGTCACATCAACCATCACGCATCAAAATCATGCAGGCAAATAACGAACGTTCATACAAAACAACAACATACAAATTAAATTAAATAAGCTTCCCTTACCTCTAGTGTGAACGTACGTCCTTCAGACTAAAACTCAGTTCGCAGAAATAAGATTTCTTCTACCCTCAACGTTCAACCAAACTCTTCAACTAAAACAAGTTATAGAAAACCAAGATTGGTTCAGATAAGGTGACTGCATGCAACCAGAGCTTGGCTTGCATGTTCATACGGACGAACAGATAAAGACGAGAAACTTACCAGTTTCAGAATCCAGAACTGTTCGGTTCAAAGTGAAGCTTGAGACGCCGGGAATGCTTCTACGGTCTCTGAATGATGATCGGAGAAGAGAAATGGTGAGTTTCTTTAGAGAGAAGATAGAACCCTTAGAGAGAAGAAGGAGAATTCGAAATATCAGGATTTTGGAGAAGATGAGTATATGCAGAGAGTGTGACGGGGTTTTCAGAAAAATCAGTTTTGTTTAAAACGAACATCCGTTCGTCTGCTGACACCTGCATTCCACTATCTGATTTTCGAATCTTCTACACTTGACACCTGGCGTTCGTTGTTGAAGTGTCGCGCTCTCCGATTGACAAGTGAACTCCACCGAAAGCACGTCATTTCCGAGATCTGACAATAACAATAGGCATATCATGATACATTTTATGTGATTCAACCCTTTATTCTTCTTTCCTTTTAAGTTTGATTAATAAAAGAGACTGACATTGTAAACTTTAGAAGTTTTAGTAGCAAAATTTGGATTTTTAAAGGTGTATAAAAGTGATTTTGCTAGTAAATACACTGTCCTAGAGTAAAAAAAGGGTACTTTATTCGCATTTATTAAGTAGTATTGAATTAGATTAGTGAAATGTATCATTAATTGGCTAGTATTATTTGAAGTAATTTATAATAATTTCTGAATGTAAAATTGATATTTTGGACAAATAAAACTAATACTTGATAAAATTATAATAGTTATATACATTAATTAAAAAAACATTTTTTACACTTATAGCTTCTAATTCTCCAAGTATAATAAATGGTGTAATGGTATGGTACCAGTTATATAAATAATGAGAATCGGTATAAAAAATAATATGGAAAAAGCTTGTAATAATCCATAATTATTATTTTTTATACTCTAAAATGGTATAAAAAGTTATTTTTTTTAAAATTTAAAATGAATTTTCTTATACATTCTAAATATTTGCTTTTTTGTTTGTCTTTACCTTCATTCTCTTTAGCACTTTCGTGTTCTTTTTTTTGCTGTTGGTTTCATCCTCGTTCTTTGCATTCATCCTCCATTCACATTGGCATTTACATTTCGTTATTGTTATCGTCAATGTGTTGTGGTGTTACTCGTGCTCTAGTTTGGTGACTCTCGTGCTAAAGTTTGATTTGGTGGTTCTTGTGCTCTGGTTCCTCTCATGTTATCATTCTCATTGTCGTTTACTTGTCGTTGGTTAGGTTATCCTCCTCGTTTAGGGTTTTGGTGAAGCATAATGCAGGTAAGCTTGGTAGTACATGGTTTCGTGTGTTGTTAGTGGTGGCAAATATGCTTCAAGCACGGTTCTGCATGGCTATGCTAGAAGTACAGTGCAACAATTTTTGATGATGCTCGTGATGCAGATATGTACGTAATGCAAGGATTTCACAATGGTGAAGCTCGCTTGTAGTCTGATTGTTAGTGTTCAAAGAATATGATGACAACAAGTTTTCTCTATCAAAAGCAAACATTGCTTCCAAACGAAACCTGACAAGTTGTTCTTTGGCGTGCGATAAAGGAAGAAGAAGAAGAAAAATGCGAGTTGCGAGGAAGTAAATTTCGATTTAGAGGAGGAAGATTTTTAATCAATGTTGGATGAGAAAATCAAAGAAGAGCTCAATACATCGTGGGAGGAGCATAGCGGAAGATGTTGATTGTAGTTTCTATACTGGTTAGTATTTAACCATTATAGAAAGTTTTCAACTTTCTATACCAATTTCAGAATTAGTATAGAAAGTCTTTTTAACCCATATAAAAATGTTTTTCTATACTAGTGATATAGTTAAATATAAGAGTTTTAAATCTTGATAAATAATGGATATTCATTATAGGCATCACTCAAAATTAGTTAAGTGCCATAATAAATTACTCAACTAATAAACCATGTTGATAAAGTTATAACTTGATATTTAAGAGAGATGACAAAATAATTTTTTCTCTAAGACGTTTATTAGATAAGTACTTAGGTGAAAGCTTTTCTCTTATGAGACATTTATTAGATAAGTATTGAGGTGAAAATATGCATATTGATTCTAGTACTAATTAGATTTATAATAAAAATTCTTTTTTCATAAAGGTAATATAAATTTTAACGAATAAAACAATGATAATCACTCAAGTGAAGAAAGAGCTTAGATAAGAGAAATATTGCATCAATTTTTTATCCATTAAAATTAGTGATGCTTAAAGAAATGTAAAATCGTTTAAAAAACATAAGTACTTTTTAGTATTTTGTAAGATTCATCTATTATTTAAAATTATTCCAACTTTGATTATGTATTGTAATTCATTTCATTCAAAACTTTTAGTTGAAATATTTAATTATATATGATAATATGAGTTTTGTCCATAACAATGACTTTATAATATATATAAGATTTATAATACATTTCATACTAAATTAAAAAAATATTTTTAAGATATAAGATTTAGATAATATCCAACAAATACCATTTGTAAAACATTTTTAATCACTTTTGTTATATTTTTTCTTTAATATTATTTTTGTTCCAATAATTTGTTTAATTTTTATTTTATTCTCTCTAGTTTAAAATAAATATGCTGATATGCTATTCTAAACAATTCATAATTTTAGTCAAATCCTTAATTTTGTCCACATTTTGTTTTAATTTTATATTTTAATTAATTATATGTTTTTATGACACTTTACATAATCTAAATTTAGATTCAAAAAAATAAAAGAAATGAAACACATTAATTTTTTTTTATAAATTTAACTATTTTTTAATTAAAAAATCACATATAAAATAACTAATTTTTTTATAATAAAATTATAAAAATTATATATAAACACGTTAGCTTACTTTCCCTTGTTAATATAATAAAAGTCCTCCCACAAGGACCTGTCATAAATTTCGAAAGAGTAATTTACAAGTGATTATACAAAATCATTTAAACTATGAAACTTAAATAAAATATGATACCTTCCAAATATAAAACTACAAAACTATTTAATTGTGCATATAATTAATTATTGTTATATTCTATTATAATAAGATTTTTTACTTGAGGACTTCACGAAAAGTGATCTTAATATAAATAATCTGATTTAAAAAAATTGAAAATGAAAATAAAAAAATTAAGAAATAGTCATAAACTAAACATTTTGAGATTCACGAAAACAACTTAGTTATTTTTATTTTTTCTAAAAATTATTTTGTAAACTAATATCTTTCCTTAATAACATGCTCTAACACTTAAAGAAACAAATTTAAATAATTAACTTTATTCTGAAACATTCAAAATTTAAAAAATAAAATTAATTTAACAAAAGCAAAATGTAAATAAACACATTAATTAAAATTTAATGTTTTCCTGATTAAACTACAATAATTAAACTGAAATATTGTTCTCAATTCAGTTAAGTTATTTTTAATAAATAAAGATAGATTAAAAGTTCAAATAAAAGCAAAAGAAAATTGTCAATAACTGTCCCTAAGTAACCGAAACTCATTTGCACACTACTGGTCAAGCAGCAACAATGGAGGGAAGAGAGAGAAAGTTTTCTCTCTCCTCTCAACCGGAACCTTTCTACACTCCCCATTCCTCTTTCTCCACTCCAATGCAACAGCATCAATCTCATGTGAGTTTGATTATCTTCAAAATTTGAAATTTTGAATTTTTTAAAAACAAACCTAACTACCTAACGTCACCATCACTGATTGCTACCTCCGTGGCCTTTAGCGCCATATCTGACGACTCTGATGGTTTTATGGCTATTCAAACGCACCCATTTCCTCAAAATTTGATTTTTGTAATGATATGTTGTTAGTTTTGATTTTTGGTTCTTTTGTTTTGTTTTGATTTATGTCCAGAACGGTATATATAGTTCCTGTTTCTTTTTTTCTTTTTTGTTTTGCACTGTTCTCCTTTTAGAATTAGAATTTTACCGAGTGACAATTTCTGAAATAAAAGTTTGTTTCAAGTTCAGCTTTAATGTTTTTAGTGCTGTTATCTGATCATGGTTGAGATTGATATTTTACTGTGACAATTTGCATAATCAAAGTTGTGTTAGATGTCAGTTTAACTGTTTTTAGCTTTAAACTTCAACCGGAATCAATATTTTGCTTTGAAAATTAGGATGCTAAAAGTTTGTATGAATTTCAGTATAACAGATTTAAAATTCAAATTCTGATTAGAAAAGAACAGGGAAAGTTTGGTGTTTTGTGTGTTTATGTTTATGTGATTGGGTTTTGATAATTGTGGTTCTTCCGGTGACAGTATATTTGGTTGTGCAGGAAATGGTGGCTTTGAAGAGGGCATATGCAGATGTAATTCTGAATACTATGAAGGAGTCTGCAGGTCGGGTAATGGTGTCGGAAAAGAGAGCACTTATGCTCCAGCAGGAGCTCACTGCGACCAAAGAAAATGCTCTTCATATGTTAATGCGTCTGAAGAAGATGATGGATGCCAAGGTTTTATTTTCAGTGCCAAATTTTGTGGTTATGGTTATTTGATGATTATAATGATTTGAGAATCTGCTTGGGTTAGATTTTAATTTAATTGATATTGAAATGTTAGATTTGTATTTGACTGGCAGTGAGCATTTAACGCAGTTTATAAGAATGGATTTTGTGTGAATGATGAAGTAGAGTCACTTTTAAATGCATTTATTAGTATGTTTTGAAAACTTTATGGGTCACGTTCCATTTTTAAGCACGATGTAGTAGAACCAAGAACAATTCACTTCTCACTGAATCAATCTATTATGCAGAGTCAATTGTTTTGGAAGCCATAGTAGCCAAACACATCAACTAGTCTTAGAATTTGTTTTTGACAAAAGTGATTTGTATGGCACACCAAACAAGTACCTCGGCGATTGAGTGATGTTGTTCTTTTAGCTCCACACCCTCACCTTCAATTTTTCAGTTTCTGCCTACTTTAAGCTTCATTTTGGAATCTGAAGTGGAAGATCCTTATGATCACATGTGATGTGCTTGTAGTATGAGGTTTTTCATTTTGTTGCTCAAGTGGAATTCTGATAGAACAAAACAAAATCTTCTATCTAATATGTGTGTCAGAGAAAGAAGTTAGTTGGGTCAGTTGTCGGTTAGTTGAGCAGAAACTATTTATAAGGGAAGTTTGTTAATAGTTGGCAGGAATATTGTATAGAGGGAAGTTTGTCAGGACAATTGTAAAGTTCTGTGTGGGAGGGTTCAAGTTTCTTGAAATACCTTGGACTAATTCAAGTGAGAACTGTTTCTGTGTGAGAAGTTCTTTAAGATCAATAAAGACATTCTTGTGTCTCTAGTTACTGTTTCTAGATCCAACTCTCATCCCATTTCTATCAAATTCACATTTATCATTTTCTGGATGAAGTAATTTGTTAAATTGAACTCTTGGCTATATTGTTATTGTGTATTTCATTTTGGCTTGTAATTGAAAAAGGCCTAAACAAGTTGTTTTTTGTTATCCTCTGAAGTAAGCATTGATCTTGTTTTCAGTAGGATGCTTTGATGTTTTTGGATGATTGTTTGGACATGTATTCTTCATTGTGTGTGTATAGCTCACTCAATTGAGTATTAACCTCTTATTCTCTGCATAGTGTTCTTCCTCTTTCCTATGGGATTTTGCTTCCCACCTTATGCATTTCCTTTGCTAATGCTAACAGTGGTATAATTCACTTTTTTTTATTTTAACATTCTATCTTGTAGTCAACTTACGCACATGGTTTGCATTTTTTAGTTTATTAATTTGCCTTGTTTTCAATTCCAAATCCAGCAAAAACAAAGCATTTATTATTTTCTAATCATCCTTTTGTTTTGGCAAGTCAAAAGTTTTTCACTTGAAATTACATAATGTAAGAACTGTAAAATATCTATCAAAACTAAATTTCAGTTTTCTTCCATTGGTATTTTAACAATTTACAAGTTCCAATCTACACCACCGGTTATCTGTCATGAACTTTCAATTTGGATTACAAATTTCATCAGGGTTTTTAACAGCGCGTTATATAGTACTATAGTGTGTGGCGGTGCGCGCAGGACCCTACTCGTTGAAGGGGTTTCTGTAGTGGCCTTCGTGGACCAAATAGAGGCAGTAGCAGGCCCTATAGAGGCATTATGTGTTAGATTCCATAAATCCCCATTGAACAAAGGCACTGGATCTTTTTTGAAGGCCTATTTTTCAAATTGAAAAATTTAAATCTATAGATGTAATAATAGTGAAAATGATAAAGAAGAATTGAATTTAGAAGATGATAATTGGCACATCCTTTTGTTGGTAATTACTTATATGTTATGTTTAAGACACTTATGACTTTTTATTGTTAATTATGAATGTTATTAATTTTTAGTAATTTTCATCCTTTCTGAGAATCTTTATGTTTAGTAGACATTGTATAGACTAAAAAAAAAAATCTAATAGCAGCTTTTCCATATATTCTATCTTGCTATAGCATTTTTGGAATCAAATCCGGGGTTTATAACATTGACTTTAATGAAGTTTGAACAAACTTATAATCTAATAATCTTGGATGGATTTTCTTGTTTCTCCTTCGAAAGTCATAAAAATCTTTACGTCCCTGCTTGTCCAGTGAGATATGTCCTGCTTCAGGTTACATATCTTTACCAATTTGTCACTTGAATTCCATGTTATATGTGGAATTAACATAATTTTTATGCTTACACGTAGTTGCACTATATATATAGACACTACATATATATTGCCATTTCTCTGTTAACTAAGTCCTAAAAATTCAAGTGATTGGAGGAGTGGTGGTATACATTTCTCCACCATATTGGGTGGTCAATGATGACAAGAAGCTGTTATACCCATGTCAGGATTTGTAGGAGAACAACAATCAAATCTTAAATATTAGATCTTAGAATGAAATTTGGTTTATTACATGACTCAGTTTATTGTTGTTTCTGTAGTTAGGTTTCTCATAATTGAAGAATCCTTGGATTTTTATATACTGTCTGATGTAATTGCATTCCCACTTTGATGTGTTTTTCCTTTTCTGGTATTCTTAGACCATGCATTTCCTTAAACTAATTCTTTCTTTGTTAACAGACAGCTGAAGCAGAGAAAGCATCATTGCAGCAACAAAGAAAAATTGAAGAGCTTGAAGCCCAGTTGAATGAAGCTGAGGATGTCGTAACAGATCTTAGGGCTGAACTGAAGCATGTACACCTTGTGCTAGAAAAGATAAGGAATAACCAGGTGCAGCCTTTGAATGGGCAGAACATAAAGCAGGTTGCAACTTGTGTTAGTGTAAAACCCGAGATTTCAATATCGTCTCCTCATAAAGAACTTGAATGTATAACAAGCTGTGATGTGGTAAACAAATCATTGACTATGAACATCTTAGATAAGAAGCAATTGCACATCTCTAATTTNAATGCAACAGCATCAATCTCATGTGAGTTTGATTATCTTCAAAATTTGAAATTTTGAATTTTTTAAAAACAAACCTAACTACCTAACGTCACCATCACTGATTGCTACCTCCGTGGCCTTTAGCGCCATATCTGACGACTCTGATGGTTTTATGGCTATTCAAACGCACCCATTTCCTCAAAATTTGATTTTTGTAATGATATGTTGTTAGTTTTGATTTTTGGTTCTTTTGTTTTGTTTTGATTTATGTCCAGAACGGTATATATAGTTCCTGTTTCTTTTTTTCTTTTTTGTTTTGCACTGTTCTCCTTTTAGAATTAGAATTTTACCGAGTGACAATTTCTGAAATAAAAGTTTGTTTCAAGTTCAGCTTTAATGTTTTTAGTGCTGTTATCTGATCATGGTTGAGATTGATATTTTACTGTGACAATTTGCATAATCAAAGTTGTGTTAGATGTCAGTTTAACTGTTTTTAGCTTTAAACTTCAACCGGAATCAATATTTTGCTTTGAAAATTAGGATGCTAAAAGTTTGTATGAATTTCAGTATAACAGATTTAAAATTCAAATTCTGATTAGAAAAGAACAGGGAAAGTTTGGTGTTTTGTGTGTTTATGTTTATGTGATTGGGTTTTGATAATTGTGGTTCTTCCGGTGACAGTATATTTGGTTGTGCAGGAAATGGTGGCTTTGAAGAGGGCATATGCAGATGTAATTCTGAATACTATGAAGGAGTCTGCAGGTCGGGTAATGGTGTCGGAAAAGAGAGCACTTATGCTCCAGCAGGAGCTCACTGCGACCAAAGAAAATGCTCTTCATATGTTAATGCGTCTGAAGAAGATGATGGATGCCAAGGTTTTATTTTCAGTGCCAAATTTTGTGGTTATGGTTATTTGATGATTATAATGATTTGAGAATCTGCTTGGGTTAGATTTTAATTTAATTGATATTGAAATGTTAGATTTGTATTTGACTGGCAGTGAGCATTTAACGCAGTTTATAAGAATGGATTTTGTGTGAATGATGAAGTAGAGTCACTTTTAAATGCATTTATTAGTATGTTTTGAAAACTTTATGGGTCACGTTCCATTTTTAAGCACGATGTAGTAGAACCAAGAACAATTCACTTCTCACTGAATCAATCTATTATGCAGAGTCAATTGTTTTGGAAGCCATAGTAGCCAAACACATCAACTAGTCTTAGAATTTGTTTTTGACAAAAGTGATTTGTATGGCACACCAAACAAGTACCTCGGCGATTGAGTGATGTTGTTCTTTTAGCTCCACACCCTCACCTTCAATTTTTCAGTTTCTGCCTACTTTAAGCTTCATTTTGGAATCTGAAGTGGAAGATCCTTATGATCACATGTGATGTGCTTGTAGTATGAGGTTTTTCATTTTGTTGCTCAAGTGGAATTCTGATAGAACAAAACAAAATCTTCTATCTAATATGTGTGTCAGAGAAAGAAGTTAGTTGGGTCAGTTGTCGGTTAGTTGAGCAGAAACTATTTATAAGGGAAGTTTGTTAATAGTTGGCAGGAATATTGTATAGAGGGAAGTTTGTCAGGACAATTGTAAAGTTCTGTGTGGGAGGGTTCAAGTTTCTTGAAATACCTTGGACTAATTCAAGTGAGAACTGTTTCTGTGTGAGAAGTTCTTTAAGATCAATAAAGACATTCTTGTGTCTCTAGTTACTGTTTCTAGATCCAACTCTCATCCCATTTCTATCAAATTCACATTTATCATTTTCTGGATGAAGTAATTTGTTAAATTGAACTCTTGGCTATATTGTTATTGTGTATTTCATTTTGGCTTGTAATTGAAAAAGGCCTAAACAAGTTGTTTTTTGTTATCCTCTGAAGTAAGCATTGATCTTGTTTTCAGTAGGATGCTTTGATGTTTTTGGATGATTGTTTGGACATGTATTCTTCATTGTGTGTGTATAGCTCACTCAATTGAGTATTAACCTCTTATTCTCTGCATAGTGTTCTTCCTCTTTCCTATGGGATTTTGCTTCCCACCTTATGCATTTCCTTTGCTAATGCTAACAGTGGTATAATTCACTTTTTTTTATTTTAACATTCTATCTTGTAGTCAACTTACGCACATGGTTTGCATTTTTTAGTTTATTAATTTGCCTTGTTTTCAATTCCAAATCCAGCAAAAACAAAGCATTTATTATTTTCTAATCATCCTTTTGTTTTGGCAAGTCAAAAGTTTTTCACTTGAAATTACATAATGTAAGAACTGTAAAATATCTATCAAAACTAAATTTCAGTTTTCTTCCATTGGTATTTTAACAATTTACAAGTTCCAATCTACACCACCGGTTATCTGTCATGAACTTTCAATTTGGATTACAAATTTCATCAGGGTTTTTAACAGCGCGTTATATAGTACTATAGTGTGTGGCGGTGCGCGCAGGACCCTACTCGTTGAAGGGGTTTCTGTAGTGGCCTTCGTGGACCAAATAGAGGCAGTAGCAGGCCCTATAGAGGCATTATGTGTTAGATTCCATAAATCCCCATTGAACAAAGGCACTGGATCTTTTTTGAAGGCCTATTTTTCAAATTGAAAAATTTAAATCTATAGATGTAATAATAGTGAAAATGATAAAGAAGAATTGAATTTAGAAGATGATAATTGGCACATCCTTTTGTTGGTAATTACTTATATGTTATGTTTAAGACACTTATGACTTTTTATTGTTAATTATGAATGTTATTAATTTTTAGTAATTTTCATCCTTTCTGAGAATCTTTATGTTTAGTAGACATTGTATAGACTAAAAAAAAAAATCTAATAGCAGCTTTTCCATATATTCTATCTTGCTATAGCATTTTTGGAATCAAATCCGGGGTTTATAACATTGACTTTAATGAAGTTTGAACAAACTTATAATCTAATAATCTTGGATGGATTTTCTTGTTTCTCCTTCGAAAGTCATAAAAATCTTTACGTCCCTGCTTGTCCAGTGAGATATGTCCTGCTTCAGGTTACATATCTTTACCAATTTGTCACTTGAATTCCATGTTATATGTGGAATTAACATAATTTTTATGCTTACACGTAGTTGCACTATATATATAGACACTACATATATATTGCCATTTCTCTGTTAACTAAGTCCTAAAAATTCAAGTGATTGGAGGAGTGGTGGTATACATTTCTCCACCATATTGGGTGGTCAATGATGACAAGAAGCTGTTATACCCATGTCAGGATTTGTAGGAGAACAACAATCAAATCTTAAATATTAGATCTTAGAATGAAATTTGGTTTATTACATGACTCAGTTTATTGTTGTTTCTGTAGTTAGGTTTCTCATAATTGAAGAATCCTTGGATTTTTATATACTGTCTGATGTAATTGCATTCCCACTTTGATGTGTTTTTCCTTTTCTGGTATTCTTAGACCATGCATTTCCTTAAACTAATTCTTTCTTTGTTAACAGACAGCTGAAGCAGAGAAAGCATCATTGCAGCAACAAAGAAAAATTGAAGAGCTTGAAGCCCAGTTGAATGAAGCTGAGGATGTCGTAACAGATCTTAGGGCTGAACTGAAGCATGTACACCTTGTGCTAGAAAAGATAAGGAATAACCAGGTGCAGCCTTTGAATGGGCAGAACATAAAGCAGGTTGCAACTTGTGTTAGTGTAAAACCCGAGATTTCAATATCGTCTCCTCATAAAGAACTTGAATGTATAACAAGCTGTGATGTGGTAAACAAATCATTGACTATGAACATCTTAGATAAGAAGCAATTGCACATCTCTAATTTGGAGGATTCTTCTGGCCATGACTCTGACTTTGCTTCGGTCATCACAAGAAGCAAGGAACCTGAACTTTGCCGAAATGGATTTACTCAGAGAATCCGTGCACTTGAAGGAAATTTGCTGGATGAAAAGCTGCTCATGCAAGACGTACACAATCAACGTTATGGTAAAAAACTTGGGGTCATTGATAAAGATGTTGATGGGAAAGTTGCAAAATTTAGAGCACTGAATGAGGAAATGAAAATTAGTAAGCATGTCAAGCTCCTTAAAATACCAAAATGGAAGATATTTTCCGGCTACAGGTCTCAATTTCTATCTTGTAAATTTCGTTTTAATGACAGCAGCAAATTGAGCAAAGATGTGTGCTCTCTACCTTCTATCAACCTTAGTGCCATTATCAGATGGAAAAGAAAGAGAAGAAGGCATAGACATCTAGGAATAAAATCTTCTGCTTTTAGAAGTTGTAAACCATCATTTGTTCTCGAGCAGTGCTCATCTGTCTGTGATAATGCCAAATGTTGTGAAGATGAAAAGGATGAAAATATGAATTCAGTGGTACTTTTGACTGATGCAGAACCTGTGCATGGGGCCACTGAGCTAGTGGAGAAAGCAATTGAGAAGGATAACAAGTTATCGAATACAGGAGACAGTGCTGAACAGAATCTAACAGGACCAAGCTCTGACATGAAAGTTGAGGTTGTTGTTGATGTTTCATCTACAAATAGTGATATGAAAGATGAAGAAGCTTTTATAGAAAAAGATAGATCTTGCAGTCAAGTAGATGAAAGTAAGCTTCTGAAGTATACATTCCAAAGGAAGCGAAAAAAAGAAGTTTTGGGAAACACACACCAAAACTTTGATTCTAAGAAGAGCACAGTGAAGAGGAGGGTGGAGGACAAACAAAATGGTGCATGGGAACCCCAGAATCTAGCATGATGGAGGAAACTTTTACAAATAACCAGCACCTGGATCAGGTTGCTTATCAGGTTTGTTCAATTCTAATTCACACAATAACAACTCCAAATTGAATTAGGAGAAAAGCATGGATTATTTGAATGTGAATTAAGTTCTAAGAAAATTTTGGTTAAAGCAAAATGAAGGGTTATCTGGTAGTTTGTTTTGGATTTAAGCACCAGGCTGATATACTTGTTTTCTTTATGCAGCTTATCATTGTCTGCAAACTGCAAAATGGTATTGATATCGATATGGGTGCTTAAGGCTTTCAACTATAGCAGACCTTTGAGGTTGTTATCTTAGTCTCTCTTAGCACATCAAAGATGTTTTTGTAAACATTTAGGCACTCTAGTTTTTTGGTTTTTAAATTATTTCTGCATTTCTATCCATATAGAGAAAAATGCTGTTTCTACAGTGCTGGTTGCCTCTGTTAAGTGCTTAATTCAAGCTAGCTTAGCACTTGAGCCATGACATGTTGATGGCAACCCTTGATAGCTAATGGATATGTTTGTAGGATGTTTATTATTATTATTATTATTATTATTGTTGTTGTTGTTGTTGTTGTTGGTATTATTTTTATATCTCTCCATAAACTATGAAAATTACATGAAGAAAAGTTTTATTGCCGGCAGATTAGAACTTATACTGATTTGTAATTGTCTCATTTTTGCTTCTCAAGAACATCACTACGCTGCATATTGAATTGGGAATTGCTGAAGTTTGAAAAGTTTTGGAATTGGAAACCTCAGTGATTATTTAGATAAAGTTGTATGATTATTTTGAAATCTGATGAACTTAAACTAGACAATAAATGAAGCTATTTATGTATATTTCAAAATATTTATTTATTACGAAGTTCTATAGTTTCTTTCTCCTTTCCTTTCATTTTCTTTCTCTGTTCATGATGCCTCAGGTTTTAATATTCTTTTTTCTCTTTTATTCATCACGTATTTTTTATTCAGACTCAAGATTGAAGAAACCAGCTATAAATTTTGTTTCATTATTAATATTTTTGTCATTATTTGTTCTAAATGATCAAGAATGTGTTTTACTGCTGCTATAATGTTGGGATTGATCCAGTTTCCTGTTCTCTTCTTCACATCATCCTTATCCCTTTAGGTTGTTACTGATAATATCATAAGTAATGAACACAAATTATTCATTTACTAAATATATTTTGCTGTATACATGTAATTTAGGACTTTATGGAAACTATCTAAACACGAAAATCGAAAAACATTAAACACTTTCATAACTACTAGTTGTGCTTTGATCTGAAAGACAATCTTATCCTTTTCTTACATAACTAATTTCATTATCACTTTTCTATCCAATAATAAAAGTGCATTATCTTAAATCCCGTGAAATCTTGAACAATATTTTGCCTTCAAAGTCTTTTAAATGTAATTTAGAAGAATAATAATTATATTAAATTTAAAAAATTCTAGTTCTTTGGAAAACTAATAGAACAAAATTTAACACTAAATTCAATATAAAATCTTAAATTAATAGATTTATAAGTTTATTTCTCATATGCTATTTAATTTATTCATGATTTATAAATTTATACATGAATGGAATAGTAGATTCCAGTGAGTTTTGTACAATTATTCTAGTGTTTTATTGGGTATATGTTATTCTCACAGTCTAAATTTATTTTTTTACTTCCAAGATTTTTTTTCTTAACTTCACAGTCAAACTACATCATTTGATAAATAATTACGATTTATGTATTGATCAATTTAGTTAGTAAATTCATTTAAAATAATTTCAGTTGATATTAATTAAAAATTATTTAGTTAATTTTAATAAAAAATTAGTCCAAAAAAAACATAATTGTAAGGTTAGGTTTTTTTATTAAATGTGAGTTAAGAAGAATAAGGATCATGAGAATCATAGGAATTCCAAGAATAATAAAAATAAATTAATTATAAAATATATTTTTTCTTAAATAAATATTTTTATATTTATTTTCTTAAATTGCTTAGGATATGATTTGTTATGAGATAAAATAATTTGAATAATTTTTTTAAATCATTCATATAAATTTATAATTTAAATAAAAAATTAGATAAATTTTTAAATTACTTATTTAAATTAACAATTTAAAATAAAAATATAGTATCTAATTAAAATAAAAAAAATAAAACTTATGGAAGATTAGGGTTTGAGGAAGAGAAAAATTTTCAACCTTTTTATTTATAGAAAAAATGTAAAAGTTGTGAAGTCATTTCAAGTGACAATTTCATGTTAAAGGCTTACTAACCTAGCCGAAAAAACAATTGCATGAGTTTTTCTCTCATTGTCACACCCACCTACTCCTCCATTCCAAACTTCATGAATCATATAATTGGTATAGAAATTTTAGCTCATTGGACTGATTAGATTTAGATAATATAACCAGGAATAATTAAGTTCGTGATTATAATCTAATTAGTTTACTTTGATCAACAATGTTACTTGTAAGACATATATTAAAACAATTTATTTCAAATGCTTTTAGTATATAAGTATTTATTAGTTTATTATTCTTTATATTATAATGAATTTATTTATTATTTTTAATTTTTTGCCGTTTTTTATGTAACTTTAATTTTAGGGTTAAATATGTTTTTAGTTCCTAAACTATTGGCCGTTTCTGGTTTTCGTCCCTCTTCCAAAGTAAGGTACAATTTGGTCCTCATTCTTTAGAAAAACGTTCGTTTTAGTCCTCAAAATTTTGTTTTTAGTCCTCGTTTTAGTCCTCAAAACGTTCGTTTTTTCGACTAAAACGAACGTTTTTTAAAGATTGAGGACTAAATTGTACCTTACTTTGGAAGAGGGACGAAAACCAGAAACGGTCAATAGTTTAGGGACTAAAAACATATTTAACCCTTAATTTTATAATGAAAAGTAATTATTGTAATATTTTTGTTTAATTAATATGTAAATTAAAATTTTAAAAAAGAAAAACTAACATAACATCCATATTAACACCTTCTCCCTTTCATGACAAACCAAAAGTGATTTTTTCACATTATGAATCTTCCTCCTTTGCCATCCAATTGTAGTATCTCTTTCATCTACATTATCTTTAGTGCACCATTTGAAGAAATTACATCCTTGCACTTCTTCATTTCGACTCCGCTGTTGAAAACATCAAACCAAAAACATCTCAGGAAAAACCAAAGAATTGTATCCCAAAATATAAACACAACGAAGGAAACAAACATTGTAATTAGGGTAGCCCAAAAATGCTTCCCCTCGTTCTTAACAGTTTTTGCGACTCTCAATACAACAGGCTCTCCACAATAGCATATTTGACTACCAACCATTCCTCTCGATGAACCACCACGAGAGCTCCCCCATGAGTATGACGAACACTGATTCATTGACATTGCCTCGCGGAATAACACAATAATGCTTCGTCCACACCAACAAAACAACCCCAATCCCGAAAAACGAACCACAAACAGAGAAGAAAACAACAACAATTCGTCAACTTAGGGCACCTTCAGAAAACCAACAACACCTTTCTTAACTTAGGGCACCCCACCTCACCTCACCTCCTTCAGCTCAGCTCCTCCAGCTAAGCTCCTTCCAAATGAATGTCTTAGGGCAAATACGTATGTATTTGATTTTCTAATCAAAGCATATTTTCATATCTGTCTTTGCTATAAAATTTGCTTTTGCCACATTGGATAAGTAATTTGCCACATCAATTAACATATACCGTCGTTCCAACCAACTTAATGGATAAGACTGAAGTCAAACAAACTTTATAACATAGGGACCCAATGTCTACACTTTTAAAATCGGGTACTAAATTGAAAATTAACACTGAACATAGGGACCAAGTAAGCATTTAAGCCTTATTCTTAAGATCAGGAACATAGTAAACATTTGAGATCACATTTGTAAATCCATTGATATTCAATCTAACATTTCCTTTTCCCATTACATTCAATCTAGTATTATTACCAAGCTTGACAATGTGCCTAAAGCTTTCATCCAGTTTTTAAAATCACTCCTTATTGCCACTCATATGATTGTTGCACCTAGAGTCAAAAAACCAGTTTTCTTCCTTCCCTTGTTTGTGATTAACATAGACCATTAGTAAGAGTTCATCTTCCTCTTTCATTTCATCCTGTACCTCAGCCTTAGCATAGTTGCATTTTGCCAGGTGGGACATTCATATTGAAAATGTCCAAGCTTGTGACATTTAAAGCATCAATGTTTGCTTTGTTGAAGGGTTGTCTTCCTTTTCCTTGGTCGCCTATAATGAAATGTTTTCCCCATCCTCTTCCTTTTCCTCCTTTATCTTCATTAGTAATGTGGAGTACATTTTCTTCGTCATCATGACAGTTCATTCTTTGCTCATGAACAAGGAGAATACTAACTTATCAATTGTCATGATCTTTAAATTGTTTGATTCTTCAATTGAGCAAATAACATAGTTAAATTTAGAGACCATGGACCTTAATATTTTCGCAATGATAACACTCTCACCCATATGTTCACCACACGCTTTCACGCTTTTAGCAATCTTTAGAGTACGAGCAAAATACGAATTGACTGTCTCTTCCTTCATTTGTAAAATTTCAAACTCTTTGCGTAATGCTTGCAGCTGTGATCTTTTCATCCTTGTAGAGCCTTGGAATTTTTGCTTCATTAAATCCCAAATGTCTTAAGACGTGTCATAATTAAGTATTGTATCCAACACTTCACGGTCTATAGCTTACTAAAGGTAATTCTTTATCTTTAAGTCTTTTAACTTTGGCTCCTCCACCAATTTAACTTCTTCCTCTGAAGGGGTTGCTTCATCGGCTACTTTAGTGATCCCATGCTCTACCTGATTCCAATACTGTTTGGAACATAGGAAATTTTCCATTAACTTTGCCCAATGATCGTAATGACTAGCAAATTTTGGGATCGCAGGTTACACACACTTATCATCCTCTGCCATTCTGTTTTCACACTCTTTCTGAAATAAATTTGTTGTTTCTTTCCACTCATTCACCACTGTTTCTCTCACTCTCAAGGAGATTTAGGATCAGGCCCCTATATAGAAGCTCTAATACCAATTGTTAGTCACATAATAATATATACATTGAAGGTATGTGCTACAGAAATTCTTATTAAATTAACAAAACATAAGTTGGCTTATAAAGCCAAAATACAGAGATAACTGACCAAAAAATAAATAACTGAAAAGACTATATCCACCCATGATTTTACATGCTAAAGATACGTGAGTGGTTAACTAGCCTAGATTTCATCTGCATATCCTAGAAAATAGGATTGAATGATAACCAACATATTTTAACAAATCGGAACAAACTAACATAAAATAAATATCTCCTAAACCAACCAACAAGTGGCGTGTGGAACTCACGAGGTAGTGGAGGATGATGGTGTCGCGATAAGGTTGGGTAAAGAGGACGATGGTGATTTGGTTTCACGGCGACAATAACGACATTGAGGGTTTGGCGGTGGCGGCGCAAGACTGGTGGTGGTCCGACGAGTCCTTCGCTTGA